CACACCCTAGAATCTCTCTAACCCCTCTTTCGCTTCACCCCTCCTAGTTTGTGTGAAAGTCTTTAACCTCAACCCCTACCGAAGCTCGCTCAGTGCTGCCGCTTGCACCCCACTAGAAATTTTTCCACCCCTCCTTTAAAACAAATGAAAATCCGCCCTTGCATTCTGCCACGATTTAGCAATATCACCATCAGTACAGTTTACACAGGAGAGTCATGCAATCAACCATTGATTATATATGTTTACAGATTTTCTGCGTCGTGAGTGTCGATTCTTTATCCAGACCTCGCCACTTCATCTGACTGCATCACTCATGAGGTTATATACATGTCTTATGGATGAGATTAGTGCCCAGGCTACAGCTGAAGGCTCGGACAGAATGTCTGGTACACAGGTATATATGACTAGCACTATGTATTTAGGTTTAAAAATTGGTGACGTTACGGGGCAACAGATGGTGGTGAAGGGGGGGGGGGGGTTGGGGACATCTTTTTACCAGCTAAATTGTGATCCCTGGAATTCAGTTTGTATACCCCCTTCCCTGAAATTCCCTAGGTGCCTAGGTTCCCTGAAATTTCCAGGTGCCCTGGAAAATGACTTTAATCGCAGACCATCCCCTGGATTTTGTTCTCTAATCACCCCACCCCCTGGATTTCTGCCGCTTAGTTCAGAAGATCACCCTGCGTTTATGATGGTGCTTAGTTAACCTCGCAGCCATATACAAACAAGTTTGTTTTGAATCTTTTCAGATCTCCAGTTGGCTTCAATGTTTATTTCTGTTTGCGATGGTCTGGGGTGTGGCTGGGACGATCACAGGAGAAAGCAGAAAGAAATTTGATGCCTTCTTTAGATTGTTAATCAGTGGCACTGATAAAGATCACCCCAAACCCAAGAATATTAAACTAAGCAAGGTACTGTATGGTGATGCCAAAGGATTTCCGAATACTACAGTAGAGGGCGGCTCTTGTTTATCCAGTATTACTACAGTAGAGGGCAGCTCTTGTTTATCCAGTATTGCTACAAGAGGAAACATGAGTACCCAGAGAAAACCTCTTGCCTTTGGAAGAGTCAAACTGGAAGCACTCTTCTCACATGTGACTGAGAAGTAACAGACAAATACAAATACAACAGAACTGTCTGTGCCAGTGTAGGTAGTGGCAAGAATAAGAAAGCTTCGAATTGATAGGGATACAACTACCTGAAAAATACAAGGAGAGCTTCACGAGAAGCGCCTTCGCTCGAAACGTTGAAGTTCTCCTTGTATTTTTCAGGTAGTCGCATCCCTATCAATTCGAAGTTTCACAAATACAACAGGAATCGAGTCTCAGTTGCAAAGGTGAAGAGACATGTACTGACCACTGCGTGACCAGCACCCCTATATAGAGTTTAATATTAAAATCTATTTTTCTGTTTCAGCAAAACGTGTTCCCTGACCCTGGCATTGTGTATGATTATTATTTCGTGAAACAAGCCAGTGGCTCGTGGGGAAAATGGATGGATTATGTTGACAAGAAAAAACTAGAGATTCCCAAAGATGCCAAGGTAAGAATGCAAAGTTGAAATGGCTTTTATGTGGTGTTCCTGATAATATTTTTCACAATGATAAGAAATAGGCAATTCCAGCTTTTAATTTATGCGCGCAGGGGTTGACGGGAAGTAAGGTATCAATTGTTGATTATGCTGAAAAATGTCAATAAAAACTACCGAAATATTTCAATATTTACAAGTATAAGCTATCACTCCGTGTTTACACGGCCACCATTTTTACTTTTCAGCATAATCAGCAATATGATACCTTACTTTCCATCACCCCCTGTACGCATAAACTAAAAACTGGAATTGCCTATTGTTTGACCTTAATTGTCCAGTCATTCATCTCTCAAACCAATCGCATGTACTAACGCTCACCTCATTCCAAATATAAGCCCCCCCCCCCCGAATATAAGCCCACTCGAATATAAGCCCCCAGAATATAAGTCCCCCAATTAATATAAGCCCAGTAATCGCTGCTTAATACAAGTTTACTCCCTGTTTATGACTGACTTGTTTATGTCTGACTTGTTTATTACTAAGTAAACACAAAAGATCGTCCATGTATAAGCCCACCCGTATATAAGCCCCCTCCCTTGTATAAGCCCATCAAAAATCGCTTACGAAAGTATATAAGCCTAGGGCTTATAGTCGGAGGTTTACGGTATGGTTTAAATAAAAATGAAAAAGCTTCCTAATGATTCCTTGTCAATGTTCTTCACTAGGTCAGTGAGCTAACCATTCAAACAGCAGACACAGCAAGACAAACATTCTTCCTCGATACATATCTACCTCATGAAATACCAATGTTGTTAGTCGGGCCAACTGGTACAGGGAAGTCCGCCATCACCAACAACTATCTCGTGGGATTACCGAAAGAAAAGTAAGGAAGTGGTGTTGTTTAGTCGAGTTATAGGTTTGGTTTTAATGTTTATCCTTGTTTTTCAGGTATATTCCTATCAATATTAATTTCTCGTCTCGAACAAGCGCTGGACAAACACAGGATATCATAATGTCAAAACTTGATCGGTAAGTTTTCTCGCATTCTTGTCCTCAATAACTTTCTCTCCCTTGTCATGTCCACCGACAGTTCCTTCATATCTAGATCTTCTTACATAGTCCGTTTCTCTTCTGTGTTCCATAGCTGTTCCAGCTCTATAATGTCTCTGAGACCAGCTCTCCTTCATCTTTTCTTACAAGTCCATATCATCTCAACCTTGCTTCCCTCACCTTCTCTGCAATGTCTTCTACCTTACGTCTTCTCATCTCTTCAATTCCATCATGTGTCTGACCAGCTCTCCTTCATCTCTTATTACAAGTCCTCATAATCTCAGCCTTGCTTCACTCACCTTTTCTGCAATGTCTTCCCCAGGTCTTCTTCATTTTTTCTTATTAGAAGTCCATACCATCTCAGGCTTGCTAGCCTTGACAGAAATCTATCTTTTGTTGTAGTCGTCGTAAAGGTGTGTACGGTCCTCCCCCAGGCAAGAAATGTGTGGTGTTTGTTGATGATCTGAACATGCCTGCGCTGGAGAAATATGGAGCTCAACCGCCCATAGAGCTACTCAGACAATGGATTGATCATCAGCATTGGTATGATAGAAAGGATACGTCAAAAGTAGATCTGATTGATCTGGTAAGTAATTGGGTTTATTCTTTCCACAATTCTGGGGTTTCAAATCACGTGATATTTTAGCATAATTTGTGGGGTCAATCATTGAACTGAGTTCAACTAAAACAACAAAGAAACAAAATGGCTGTCAACGCATTTTATGTAAATTAGTTCTCCAACTATTATAAAGGCCAATATAAAACAATATAAACAATATCAAAGCCATCCTTGACACGGACCCTTGACCCCCACGTGACTCGGCTTCTTTCTCATTCGACGCAACACGAGATATCTCGATTAGCCATTCCGAAGTTGATGAGTGGACTGGGGACGAGTTTTAAAAGTGCCCAAATTAAGAAATGAACCAAATCACTAAAAAGACCACCTCAAAATTAGTAAGTATACAAAATTTGAATACGTTCACATGAATACCCTTCGAATAATAAGCTTTCGAAAATTGTGAAATTACTGATTAAAAGATTGTTTTTGGGACTCGCGTCCCAAAAACACAAATTACAATACATTTCATAGTAAACATCGCGATTTTCGAAAACTTATTATTCGAAGGGTATTCATGTAAACGTCTTCAAACTTTGTATACTTACTAATTTTGAGGTGGTCGTTTTAGTGATTTGGTTCATTTCTTAATTTGGGCACTTTTTAACACTCGTCCCCAGTCCTCTCATCAACTCTGGAATGGCTAATTGTCTGACATTCTTTATCGACTATTTGCAGCTGTTTGTTTCCGCCATGGGTCCACCCGGTGGAGGTCGTAACCACATCACTGGTCGCTTCACAAGACATCTTAATATTGTCTCTATTGACAAGTTTGACGACAATACTTTGACCAGTATATTCACCTCCATTGTTGACTGGCATTTCGCCAAAGGATTTGATGCAACTTTCCAAAGATTGGGCAAGGTAGGGAACACGTTTTCTAAATATTGGGATGCAGTGGCTCAGAAGCTAAGCCCTGCTCAAACGAAAATGAGAGCTGGGACGTGTTACAGCCATTGAACTATAAATAAACTGGAAGGCTAACTCAGGGGGGGGGGAAATTGAAGCCAGTGCATTTTAGTTTTTCTGAGTTATGAGCAGAAATACTCAACACTGAACGTCGGGCTATATATCAAATTGAAGCTATTGAAAAACGCTATTTGGTGTAGAGATTTCAAGACTTGATAGCTAAAAGGGAAATATTGAAAAACTGCAAAAATAATTGCTGATAATTTGCCATTTTGCAGTTGTTTTTGTATTTTTTAAATATTTTTCTTTTCGCTGAAGTCTTGAAATTTCCACACCAAATAGCAATTTTCAATAGCTTCAATTTGATATATAGCCCAACGTTTGGGATCAAGTATTTCTGCTCATAACTCAGAAAAACTATTCTGGTTTCAGCAAATCATAGGCCCTCATCATACAGTTAGCCTTCCAGTTTATTTATAGTTCAATGGTTACAGCGGACATCAAGCTCTAGATTAACAAAAGAAAGGTTTGATCATGATGAGTGTTTCAACGATGTTTTAACTTAACTAGAATACATGATAGTGTTGGGAAAGCATTAAGGGGCCGATTACATGGAGCATTTTCAACCCCGGGGTTGAACTCAGCTCTGTTTACCGGGTTGAAATTTCTGCCCTGTCTATAATACAAAACCCTATCAAAATCAAACTCGCAATTACATGACAAAATTTTCAACCCAGGGCTGAGTTCACCCCCGGGGTTTAAATTTCAACCCTGCTTGAGCTAGCAGGGTTGAAATTTCAACCCCGGGGTTGAACTCAGCCCTGGGTTGAAAATTTTGGCGTCAGGGTTTAGGCGTCAAGGTTAAAGACTTTCACACAAAATAGGAGGGGTGAAGCAAAATTTTGGTGGGGTTGAACACTTTATAAGAGGGGTTAGAGAGATTCTAGGAGGGGTTTAACCTCCCCCCCCCCCCAGTAAATCCGCCCATGAGAAGAATGCTTCTAGTTTGACTCTATCAAACACCGGTGGTTTTCCTTGGCTTCTCCTATTTCCTGCATGTAGTAACGCCGAGCAATAAGGATGACCTAATACTGCACTTTCAGGGAAAACAATGTAGAACTGACAGAACTGTGCAGGAAAAATAAATTTCGTTTCTTACTGATGCCATATATACAATTTTCTTTCTACCTCTCTAGCTCATAGTCCTCGCTACATTACAAGTGTACAAAGCAGCGGTCGAAAACTTCTTACCAACCCCTACTAAGTCTCATTACGTGTTCAACCTGCGGGACTTCGCGCGTGTGATCTTTGGAGTTCTCCTAGTCCCAGCCTCCTGTATGCAAGAAGGCGACAAGTTGGTAAGACTCTGGATACATGAAGTATATCGCGTGTTTTATGATCGTCTTATTGATGACAAGGATCGACATTTCTTCTTTGACATGATGAAACAAACCACAAAGAGTCAAATGAAAGTTGAGATGGATAATGTCTTGGGTCATCTGCTCCCGCCTGGGGAGAAATTACATGATGATCACATCAGGTGAGAATTGGGGTTCAGATATTAATCCATACTAATCTCAATGCTAATCCTAATCTTAGTCATAATCCTAACCTCAATTCTAATCTTAATCCCAATTCTAACCCTAATCTTAACCTTCAATCTTATTCCTTAATCCTAACTTCAATCTTATTCCTAACCTCAATCCTAAACTTAATTCTAATCCCAATCTTAATTTATAATTCCAGTCCTAACTTTAATCTTAATCTTAACCCCATTCTAACTTTGTGCAATAAATATTTTCATTTTTTCAGAGGGTTGTTCTTTGGTGACTACATGAATGTCGATTCTCCTGAGAAAATTTACAACGAAATTTCAGACTTTGCTTCCCTCACATCACAAATGGAGACGTATTTAGAGGAGTTTAACCAAATGAGCAAGACTCCCATGTCTCTGGTGATGTTTAAGTTCGCGATTGAACATATTTCACGAGTGAGCAGAGTTTTAAAACAAGATAATGGACATCTCTTGCTTGTTGGTACGTTCACTGAGTTTATATCTCGGATTAAAATTTCCCTCAGTCCCATGAGACAAGAGTGTTTCCAGTTTGACTCTACCAAACTTCGCAGATTTTCTCCATGTACTCCGGTTAACACTGGATCAATAAGGGGTGGCTCTTACTCCTGGGTAAAACAGTTTAGAACTGATAGAGTTATCCACTATAACTAAAGTTTGTTTAGTTTTGGATTCCTCCTGTAGTAACACTGGATCAGTAAAAGATGATCCTTGCTGGACCTCTAGGAAGAACAGTTTAGAACTGATAGAGCTATCCAGTATAAATAAAGTTAGTTTAGTTTAGATTTTCTTCTGTAGTAACACTGGATCAGTAAAAGATGATCCTTGCTGGACCTCAAGGAAGAACAGTTTAGAGCTGATATTGAGTATAAATAAAGTTACATGAAATGATATATTTTCTTAATGTTGACCAGGTATTGGTGGCAGTGGACGTCAAAGTGTGACGCGTCTCGCAGCCTTCATGGCAGACTATGATTTATTTCAAATTGAAATCACGAAGAGTTATACGAAAAGCGAATGGAGGGATGACCTGAAAAGGGTAAGAAACTAGTTTTCTTTGGCTTGTGTTTTAACTAACTAAATGAGGCGAACAATACTGGATGATATTGAACCAACCAGTTGACCTCTTTTGGCCTTTAATACATTTGTTATAAATCTGAGTTTCTTTTCAGATGTTGATCAAAGCAGGTGTGGACGGAAAGCCGACCGTATTTTTGTTTAGCGACAATCAGATCAAGGAAGAATCATTTGTCGAGGATATCAACATGATACTGAACACAGGAGATGTACCCAACATTTTCCCAGCTGACGAAAAAGCCGAACTCATTGATAAAATGCAGAATGTCGCAAGAGTTGAGGTAGGATAAGCTCGGTCAGTTCTAAACTGTTCTCCCTAGAGGTCTATTGAAGACCACGCCTTTATATTGTCCCATTGTTACTATGAGAGAAAACCACGGTCCAGGATAACTTGAAGTATTCTTCTCACATGAGAAATGATGAAACCTAGTCACAGAGATGAAAGACACATACAGTAACTAGTGTACCAACGAAAGCTGGTCAACTCGGCCCATACCATCTTGGCCCAATTGTTAACTACTGTTTGACATATTGAGAAAGCTAATATTTCACAAAAGATAGCACCAAACCAATACAGCCATTTGCAGTTGCATTGGGCGTACAGATGAGTAAAGTTTGAAAACATCCAGTTTGACTTAATTTAATTAAAAAATCTATCGAAGTTTCAAATTCTCAATTTGTCCGTTTTGATACTAAATTACTGACCATTCAAATCTCTCTCAAAATTTGCAAAGATAGAACGCAGTCATGGCCCCTAGCTTGTTTAATGGTTAGATTAGTCAGTTTATGAGCGGGCGGAGTTGGTCCTTGAATGGTGGGCCGAGTTGGTTAGTGGGTCGAGTTGACTGTAAAGTGTACCACCTATATCCTCATACAGTGATTCTTGTAATCCTGATTTTCCTCTGCAGGGTAAAAAGATCGACGCGACTCCACTTGCAATGTATACATATTTCATCGAGCGTGTTAAAGGCAATCTTCATGTCGTCTTAGCCATGAGTCCAATTGGTGACGCATTTCGAAACAGACTTCGAATGTTTCCATCGTTGATCAATTGCTGTACCATAGACTGGTTCCAGGTTAGCAAATCACATGTTTCTAATCCTGAACAGTCTCTATGTAGCCAGTTTCAAGCCCCGTTCTAACGACTCCAACGTTGTTTGTCCAAGTCTTATAGGGACCTTAAGATACAGGACGGCAAAGCGACGGCCAAAACAAATTCACCCAAATAAATGATTGTAATGAAATCTTATCGTATATTATCAATCGTACGAATTTAATACAGCTTGTGAAGAGATCAAAACAGGGGCTTTTTATTGAGCAGAGTTCCACATTAGTACTGAACCAATGATCACTTCTTACGTACTAAAATGCAAACGTTGTACTCAGGACGTTTACATTGGGTTGTAAACAGACGTGGACGACGTCTAAATCTCATAAATTATCTCTGTGTTTCCTCTTGTTTTATCCCTGTAGGCGTGGCCAGAAGACGCTTTAGAAATGGTTGCCAATAAATTCCTGGAAGAGGTCGAGATGTCAGATAACGCGAGAAAAGAATGTGTGTGGATGTGTAAATATTTCCATGAAAGTGTACGAAAGACGTCAGAACGGTACGAGCAAGCAGTTGTCTTGTATAAACTAAGTAGTCTGATGCGGGCCTGCCGAGAGGGGGCACTTTGTCCCGGGCCCCCGGCTCAAAAAAGGCCCTCCCAAAGCCCTCAGTGCTGGATAATGCACGTATTCAATAAAGTTCAATATATTGTAAAACACCGATTATGACGTCATAGTGCCTCCCTGGTAACGTTTTGCCCCGGGCCCCGCGCAAACTCTCGTCTGATACACTTGTTTATCAGAGTAGTTACCTAGAAAAGACTCCTCACATGTGCAGCCATAGGAGGAACTCTGGAACGAAACAAATATTTTTCTTACTAGATACTATGACGTATTACGACGTCACAACTACGTCACTCCTACGTCATACCTTGAACTCATCCTGACGTTCAAAACTCTACTTGGTGTTAAACAAAGTGAGATTTTGGGTTTGAAGAACAGATATGTGACAGGTTTAGAGAAACTGGAGTTTGCAGCTTCGCAAGTCTCCGTCATGCAGGAGGAACTGACCGCGTTGCAACCCGAGTTGATTCAGACCTCCGCTGAGACAGAGAAACTCATGGTGAAAATTGAACAAGATACCGTTGAAGTTGAGGCCAAGAAAGAGGTTAGACCATCTAAAATAGCTTTATTTCTACTGGATAGATCTATCGGTTCTCCCTAGAGGTCCAGTAAGGATCATCTCTTATTGATCCAGTGTTACTACCGGAGGAAACCTAAACTAAAGTAACATTATGAATACTGGATAGCTCTATCAGTTCTAAACTGTTCTCCCTAGAGTTCCAGTAAGGATCATCTCTTATTGATCCAGTGTTACTACCGGAGGAAACCTAAACTAAACTAACTCTATGAATACTGGATAGCTCTATCAGCTCTGAACTGTTCTCTCTAGAGGTCCAGTAAGGATCATAATAAATGTATAAAAATTACATTCGAAATTTCCATCTAATTTGCAGGTTGTTGGCGCTGACGAAGCTGTAGCGAATGAAGCTGCAGCCGTGGCGAAAGGAATCAAGGATGAATGTGAAGGTGACCTCGCTGAAGCATTGCCCGCATTGGAGTCTGCTATACAAGCTTTAGATACCTTGAAACCCAGCGATATCAGCATGGTCAAGACTATGAAGGTGGGACCATATTCATGTTTAAATACCATCAATCTCTAATTCTAACACTTAACTATATCTTAACTTTAATCCTAATGTGACCCAGACTTGTCTAAGTCGGTATCCAATTTTAGATTTTGTAGCTTAGTAGGTAACTTGAAGTCGAAATTTTCTAGGTCAGGCTATGGTCGTAGTTGCCTCGAGAATCCAAAGTCAGTTTGTGAGTCAACGTATTCTTAATCCTGATCTTCCATTATGTTGAATTATTTAAAATTATATTTCTCAGAATCCTTCTGCCGTAGTGAAATTAATCTTGGAAGCAGTGTGTGTCATGAAGGCGTTGAAACCCGAGCGGAAACCTGATCCGTCAGGTTCTGGGAAAATGATTGAAGATTACTGGGGACCTTCTCAGAAAATGTTGGGAGATATGAAATTCCTAGAATCTCTGAAAAATTATGATAAAGATAATATT